GATGTGGACGCCACGGAACCAAGGCAAAGGCACAGATGCAAGGACACCAAGAGATAAGTATTTTTTCTGACTTGAAGTGCCCCCCACCATCTGTCTTGTCAACATGAAACTAATATATGCTTTTTGTTTTTCTTTTCAAAGTACCTGACCCGGATGTGGACGCCACGGAACCAAGGCAAAGGCACAGATGCAAGGACACCAAGAGATAAGTATTTTTTCTGACTTGAAGTGCCCCCCACCATCTGTCTTGTCAACATGAAACTAATATATGCTTTTTGTTTTTCTTTTCAGAGTACCTGACCCAGATGTGGACGCCACGGAACCAAGGCAAAGGCACAGATGCAAGGACACCAAGAGATAAGTATTTTTTCTGACTTGAAGTGCCCCCCACCATCTGTCTTATCAACATGAAACTAATATATGCTTTTTGTTTTTCTTTTCAGAGTACCTGACCCGGATGTGGACGCCACGGAACCAAGGCAAAGGCACAGATGCAAGGACACCAAGAGATAAGTATTTTTTCTGACTTGAAGTGCCCCCCACCATCTGTCTTGTCAACATGAAACTAATATATGCTTTTTGTTTTTCTTTTCAGAGTACCTGACCCGGATGTGGACGCCACGGAACCAAGGCAAAGGCACAGATGCAAGGACACCAAGAGATAAGTATTTTTTCTGACTTGAAGTGCCCCCCACCATCTGTCTTGTCAACATGAAACTAATATATGCTTTTTGTTTTTCTTTTCAGAGTTCCTGATCCGGATGTGGACGCCACGGAACCAAGGCAAAGGCACAGATGCAAGGACACCAAGAGATAAGTATTTTTTCTGACTTGAAGTGCCCCCCACCATCTGTCTTGTCAACATGAAACTAATATATGCTTTTTGTTTTTCTTTTCAGAGTACCTGACCCTGATGTGGACGCCACGGAACCAAGGCAAAGGCACAGATGCAAGGACACCAAGAGATAAGTATTTTTTCTGACTTGAAGTGCCCCCTACCATCTGTCTTGTCAACATGAAACTAATATATGCTTTTTGTTTTTCTTTTCAGAGTACCTGACCCGGATGTGGACGCCACGGAACCAAGGCAAAGGCACAGATGCAAGGACACCAAGAGATAAGTATTTTTTCTGACTTGAAGTGCCCCCCACCATCTGTCTTGTCAACATGAAACTAATATATGCTTTTTGTTTTTCTTTTCAGAGTACCTGACCCGGATGTGGATGCCACGGAACCAAGGCAGAGGCACAGATGCATGGACACCATGAGATAAGTATTTTTTCTGACTTGTAGTGCCCCCCACCATCTGTCTTGTCAACATGAAACTAATATATGCTTTTTGTTTTTCTTTTCAGAGTACCTGACCCTGATGTGGACGCCACGGAACCAAGGCAAAGGCACAGATGCAAGGACACCAAGAGATAAGTATTTTTTCTGACTTGAAGTGCCCCCCACCATCTGTCTTGTCAACATGAAACTAATATATGCTTTTTGTTTTTCTTTTCAGAGTACCTGACCCGGATGTGGACGCCACGGAACCAAGGCAAAGGCACAGATGCAAGGACACCAAGAGATAAGTATTTTTTCTGACTTGAAGTGCCCCCCACCATCTGTCTTGTCAACATGAAACTAATATATGCTTTTTGTTTTTCTTTTCAGAGTACCTGACCCGGATGTGGACGCCACGGAACCAAGGCAAAGGCACAGATGCAAGGACACCAAGAGATAAGTATTTTTTCTGACTTGAAGTGCCCCCCACCATCTGTCTTATCAACATGAAACTAATATATGCTTTTTGTTTTTCTTTTCAGAGTTCCTGACCCGGATGTGGACGCCACGGAACCAAGGCAAAGGCACAGATGCAAGGACACCAAGAGATAAGTATTTTTTCTGACTTGAAGTGCCCCCCACCATCTGTCTTGTCAACATGAAACTAATATATGCTTTTTGTTTTTCTTTTCAGAGTACCTGACCCGGATGTGGACGCCACGGAACCAAGGCAAAGGCACAGATGCAAGGACACCAAGAGATAAGTATTTTTTTCTGACTTGAAGTGCCCCCTACCATCTGTCTTGTCAACATGAAACTAATATATGCTTTTTGTTTTTCTTTTCAGAGTACCTGACCCGGATGTGGACGCCACGGAACCAAGGCAAAGGCACAGATGCAAGGACACCAAGAGATAAGTATTTTTTCTGACTTGAAGTGCCCCCCACCATCTGTCTTGTCAACATGAAACTAATATATGCTTTTTGTTTTTCTTTTCAGAGTACCTGACCCGGATGTGGACGCCAGGGAACCAAGGCAGAGGCACAGATGCAAGGACACCAAGAGATAAGTATTTTTTCTGACTTGAAGTGCCCCCCACCATCTGTCTTGTCAACATGAAACTAATATATGCTTTTTGTTTTTCTTTTCAGAGTACCTGACCCGGATGTGGACGCCACGGAAACAAGGCAGAGGCACAGATGCAAGGACACCAAGAGATAAGTATTTTTTCTGACTTGAAGTGCCCCCCACCATCTGTCTTGTCAACATGAAACTAATATATGCTTTTTGTTTTTCTTTTCAGAGTACCTGACCCGGATGTGGATGCCACGGAACCAAGGCAAAGGCACAGATGCAAGGACACCAAGAGATAAGTATTTTTTCTGACTTGAAGTGCCCCCCACCATCTGTCTTGTCAACATGAAACTAATATATGCTTTTTGTTTTTCTTTTCAGAGTACCTGACCCAGATGTGGACGCCACGGAACCAAGGCAGAGGCACAGATGCAAGGACACCAAGAGATAAGTATTTTTTCTGACTTGAAGTGCCCCCCACCATCTGTCTTGTCAACATGAAACTAATATATGCTTTTTGTTTTTCTTTTCAGAGTACCTGACCCGGATGTGGACGCCACGGAACCAAGGCAGAGGCACAGATGCAAGGACACCAAGAGATAAGTATTTTTTCTGACTTGAAGTGCCCCCCACCATCTGTCTTGTCAACATGAAACTAATATATGCTTTTTGTTTTTCTTTTCAGAGTACCTGACCCGGATGTGGACGCCACGGAACCAAGGCAGAGGCACAGATGCAAGGACACCAAGAGATAAGTATTTTTTCTGACTTGTAGTGCCCCCCACCATCTGTCTTGTCAACATGAAACTAATATATGCTTTTTGTTTTTCTTTTCAGAGTACCTGACCCGGATGTGGACGCCACGGAACCAAGGCAAAGGCACAGATGCAAGGACACCAAGAGATAAGTATTTTTTCTGACTTGAAGTGCCCCCCACCATCTGTCTTGTCAACATGAAACTAATATATGCTTTTTGTTTTTCTTTTCAGAGTACCTGACCCGGATGTGGACGCCACGGAACCAAGGCAAAGGCACAGATGCAAGGACACCAAGAGATAAGTATTTTTTCTGACTTGAAGTGCCCCCCACCATCTGTCTTGTCAACATGAAACTAATATATGCTTTTTGTTTTTCTTTTCAGAGTACCTGACCCGGATGTGGACGCCACGGAACCAAGGCAAAGGCACAGATGCAAGGACACCAAGAGATAAGTATTTTTTCTGACTTGAAGTGCCCCCCACCATCTGTCTTGTCAACATGAAACTAATATATGCTTTTTGTTTTTTCTTTCAGAGTACCTGACCTGGATGTGGACGCCACGGAACCAAGACAAAGGCACAGATGCAAGAACACCAAGAGATAAGTATTTTTTCTGACTTGAAGTGCCCCCCACCATCTGTCTTGTCAACATGAAACTAATATATGCTTTTTGTTTTTCTTTTCAGAGTACCTGACCCGAATGTCGATGCGACGGACCAAGACAAAGGCACAGATGCAGAACACCAAGAGATAAGTATTTTTTCTTACTTGAAGTGCCCTCCACCATCTGTGTTGTCAACATGAAACTAATATATACTTTTTGTTTTTCTTACAGAGTACCTGACCCACATTTTACTTGCTTCAAACAGGCCGTTAGACGAGGACCATTCACACAACACATTTTGTCTGCGATAATCTACTTTTCTCTAGATTCAGAGTTCACAAATGAATAATACAACTTGATTAAAGCCTAGAAACACAAATATTGACACATGAAAACCAGTGTCAGATAGAAAGTCAGAATGCCACTTATGCATAAAAATTGAAAAGGCTTTGAAATGCTTATTTTGACAATATAATGCCAAAATGGGACATTTTTGCAGAATTTCTATCAAATAAAAGTTTAAATCCTTTAGTTTCATGCTATTTGACAAATTGGCACCATTAAATCATTCAGGGAAGTTGCCAAAGTACAGATTCTATATTTACTGATTTCATCTCTTAGGCCCGAGAACACAGTTATTTCGTAGTGCATTTCTTTTAGACAATAAATGAAAATTAAAAATATCCCACCTGTGCTTATTCTCAATAATATTTTTACAGTGTGGTGTACTACTTTTGGGACAAATTATATCAAAATTATAGAAAACTTCATCAGCTCTTAACTCAAAATATGGACAATTTTATGTTAAGGGTGGTCTTGAATTCTTTTGACAGCTTCCGAAATACTTATTTTTAACCTTTTTTAGCTGGACCAAATCACTACTTTACTTTAAAATTCATGACCCAAATTTTTTTACGCTGTAATTTCATCCCCCTACTTGCTATTTGAGGCATAAAACATGAAGAAATAAATTTGGAAAGGGTATAAAACAAAATTGCAAGTAGCACATTGTCCACACTAGGGACTATATTCGTGGACAACGAAAATCAAAGGACAATAACTGTGTTCATGGACCATATGTTACATCCCATATTTGTAATTGTACAGTTGTAGCACTGTCATGACTATTAAATAACCACCATATCTGATTCTGACAATTTGAAGAGAGAGATCGACAATTAAGGATCATAATCAGCACTAAATAGTAGCTACATTATATATAATCACTATCAAAAAAACTTTACTTGTCAGCAAAATGTAGAATATAATGAAAATAAGAAGAATTTGACCTTACCTGACTTCACATTGTTTTCCACCGCTTCCTATATCCGGTGGTGATGATACACAGTGGTCATATAATGCACTACATTTCCTCTTAATGTTTTAATAGCCAAATACTATGAGTGCTTGGATTTCCTTTATTTTGTTGAAAAGACCTCTTTATCTCTTTGGCCTTTTCTAATGGGAGATAACTCAAAATATTTTTTTTACTCTTGTGGAAATCTTAATTATTTCATAATTTCCGCAATTTTCCAGTATTAATAAACACCAGAACAAATGTGTGCATTTCTTCATTTAGACATTTGTTCCATTCTTATTGACATGAGCCTTGTACAAAGTGTTTATGCATAGTGAAGGTAAAAATAATTATGAATAAACTTTTATTTATTGACACTTATATTTGATATCCCATCCAGTATTCCAGTTTCACTATTTGAAATGATTTTAAAATTTTTTCCTAATTTTATTAACTTTTTAGAATATTTTCTTACATTTTTCACTGTATCGCTAGATTTTTTTCTATATCCACAGTATTCTGTTTACTGATATATATCCCAATTAAACAGGTGCTGAGTCTTTATATTATATCCAGAAATTTGTGATTTTTGATAATTTCCAATATCACTTTCAAAATAATTATCCTCACTTAAATTTACATATTTTTTTGTTTATTTTTCACTATATCACTTGATTTTTCTATATCCACATTATTCGGTTTTTATTGCATTTCCCATGATATATGTCCCAATTAAACAATATAAGATCCAGAATTTTATAATGATTATTTCCAATATCACATTCAAAATTGTTATTCTCACATTATGAATTTTTTAGAATATTTTACTTTTATTTTTCACTTTATCACTAGATTCGACTATATCCACTGTATTCACATTTATTTCATTTCTAATATATATCGCATTTAAACAGGTGAATCATCTTCATATTAGGTCCAGAATTTTTTAATGATAATTTTCAAAATCATATTTAAAAGCCACAGAAACATGTTGGATAAACTTATTTCTTCTACTTGCATTCCAGTTTTGAATTTTTTTACCTTTTAGATTAACTAAATCCCATTTTTTTTCATGTATAAGCCACACAAAACATTTTGAATGAATTATTTCCTCCTTGATACATTCATAACAATTCATTCTAAAAAAAACCAAGTCACATTTTAAGAAGTAAAATTATATGGCATCTTAAGAAGTTAATTCAAATAAAAAAATCCCAATATGTTATGCACATTGATTCCAATAGATTTCAAACACTGAATAATATTCCAAATGAAAAATTTGAACGGACATTTGAAGAAATGCATAACATATCCATCTGAAAACTGAAACTGAAAACACCTGAATAGCTTCTTCTTGTTTCACTGACAACTGGATAATACCATGTATAAGGGTTAAAAATTTAAAGATTCATATATTATGTAAAAACAGTTTTCATTTTCATACATGTTAACATGCAGTTAAGAAAATCTCTTACTGATTTAGATTTTTGGGTCAAAATTAAATAAATCATTTATATTGGGGATTTAAAACAATGAAAACCAATAATATGTTCTTCCCTATCAATTTTATAATAGAATAACCCTAGGTGAAGAAAAACTTCAGGAAAAAAGCATGCTGTTACTAAAGTTTGAGTTCAGTGAACAAAAAAAACCAGTACAGGTAGCATCAAGGTAGACTCAACTCTTAACAATACCAACTCGTCAATTTAAATGTCCCAAGTTTGTCAATTTACAATCTTATTGGACAATAGGTTAGATAACTGTGCACATACATGAATAGTTCAAATAGCCTGGAATATGAGGTCTAACCAATTTTTTAAATTTTAACGCTGTTGATAGAATTTTTTAAAAATTATGTCTTAAAAGGTTTCACTTGAAAAATGAAAATGGGGAGATATTAAAGTTATGCCGATTGAAATTAATTGATAGATTTTCATCCCCGCCCGCACCTCTGAAATGGTCCCGTCCCGATTTTTTTAAAGATTTACGATTTCCGGATTTTGTTCATTTCCGTTACCGGTAACCGCCGATAATTTCGTTTCATTCAAAACTTCCTGTTTCAAATTTCAGTTAGATTTCTCCTCGACTCGAGTAATATAACCAAAATGATTAAGTCGACATATTATGCTGCTCAATTATGACAGCATTATCTTCTGAGAATATAGATTGATTACTAGAAGGGCATGAAATATTCGGGTTACGAGTAATAGGCGGTGTCCAAGAACGCTAATCGCGGTATGACACAAATTTCAGTGATTAGAAAACCGTAGATTTTTTCATTTATACAATGACTTTGTGCAGGGCTGCCAAGTCTCACGCATTTAGCGTGAGACTCGCGCATTTTCATGCTTATTTGGCGTCATTTTCCTTTGATCTATTGTTTTTTCTCTTTGATCTTTACGATTTTGGCCAAATCTCACGCATTTGCATTATTAAAAGTTGGCAGAACTGCTTTGTGTCAGGGAATTTGGATGAATAATATCCAAAGCGCAAGAATCGTGGAACACATTGGTACAAAAACAAGACCGTAATAAAGTAATTGACAAACAGAAAACACCCTCTGTCCCCAGCCCCTTAATAGGCTCATTAAACAACTTCTTCTTTTTTGGTTCAGTTCATGTTTTAAATTGTAATTATATTTGGACCTTGTATAAGAATATTCAAAGCATCAACCATAGTATTTTCAACACAGTTTGAGTTTTCATTTCACTCTGTACTCATAATATTTGTGTTGCATACCAATGCATATGCTTTATTTTATGAGGTCTACAAATCATAACCCAAAGAAAAATGAATTTGATGTACCTGTAGGTAGTCTAAAAGAGAACATTTCTCCACATTTGAAGCTATTTATTAAAAATAGGGTTCTAAAGAGGCCATTACATGTAGATCAGTGGTTGCCAATCAGAAATATTAATTTAAGAATTTGAAAATAATGTTGAATTCCTTATACATGTATATACATCATATAAGCTTATTATTACCCTTGTATATGAACAACACATCACAAAAGGGTTTAGGAGGAAATAAAAATTAAAAAATTAAAAATCCTCCCACCTGCCCCATTTTTTCCATAATCTGTACTAATTAATTTTAGTTGGCCTTACATTTATTGATTGTCAGAGGCAGATTTGGGGATTGGGTCTGGGTCTGCCCCCCCCCCTTTTGTAGGAAAAATTTGGTTGATTATATAGGGAATCACTGAAGCATGACTGGAGTGGGCCCCTCTTAGGCAGTCAGTGGGCCCCCACTTATGAAAATTTCTTGATCCCCCACTGATTGTTGGTTGCTTAAGGATGATCGCTACTCTTGTTTTTGACTTTTCGTCAGATATTCGGAATCCTCTAGTTTTATCCATGTAGTGCCATTAAAAATTTTGTCCGCTAACCCCTTCTTTTCTTTTCATAATTTTATAACATAAAGTTTAAAACTCCATTTTTGAAAATCTTATGAAATCCTTGTTATTTTTTCATTGTTTTTGAAAGAAAATAAATGTATGAAAAATCTAGAGAGAATCATTTCCCGTCAAATTTTCAATTGATTATATCTCAAAAACAACGACACGGACCATCATTGCTTTTTAATTTTTAAGTTCCCTTATTTATATTCTATTGATTTATAACAGTCTTTTAAAAAGCTTGTTTATTTGAAACAGAGGAGCGAACATCCTTAACATAACTAAGTTACATATGAATTATGATAGTATGTTGAAAGAAATTCACAAGGGGAGATAATTCATTTATTAAAAATACTAACGACAATTAAGTTAAAGAATTTATTTTTTTTAGGCCAAGAAAGTTGACAAAATCAATTATTTTGTAGCCACTGGTAACTGGATTTAAACAAATTTAACACTGCATGTAATTTTTTTCTAACATAAATCTGAGAGTCTCATTGATTCTAGAAATAATAGCAGTTAACTAGAAGTAACAACATGAACAATATCATAATAATTTCTGTTTTTAGACAATGTCTGTTTTTTCTTCATACTGCAACTATAAATTGTTTTTAAGAAGACATCAACAATATTGAATAAAATGTGGAAGATGTAAAAATTCTACAAAAACCTTATAGATAAAAATTAAAAAAATAAAACATTATCAATGTCACAAACAAGGCCTTATACAGTCCATGTATAAATATTAATATGCTCAATGCAATTTGATTGCACAAATTAAACTGTTGCAATATAAATATAAATAACAATTTACAGGAATATTTGTGAATATTGTCCAGAGTACATTTTTATATTGCATAAGCTTACAACTCTTTTATCATATAGTAAAGCTTGAAAAAAGTGTAGAATTTAATTTTTCACTTATTACATGTATAATTTGAAGCTATATTTGCACTTGTGCATTATAATAGAATATTGCTTGCTAATTTTTTCTTTAAGTTCAGTGGAAAATATTTTGCTGCTCTACAATAATCTCAAATCCTGACAGGTTGAGTCTGACTGAGGTCATTTTTAGGCAGTTAAGCTGCCTTATGCTCTAGCACCCTTGTGTTCTTCCAAACGAATGCTGAAAAAAGTGCCATTGTTATAATCTAGCAGGCTAATATGTTTATATATAACTAATTGGACTTTTTTTCATACTTTTAATTCTCGAATACAAAAAATATGACCAGAATAACCTTAAAAATGATCGTCGAACGACCCATAATATTTAAAGTTGCACATAGGAAATAGTGCTCAATAGAAATCCGTAAATAGTTAATTATCCCCTGTGCTTTTGGCTAAAATGTCGGAGAACAATTGTATGAAAAATTTCATTGCCGAAAATTTCTAATTACAAGTTGTTTATATTTCCCAAATGGCAAAATGCGCAGGAATATTGTTCATGTACACCAAATCTCTATGACAGAGGAAATAAAGTTATATATAGTAGTCTAAGTTGGCGGTTATTTTAACTTGCACTTGTTATTTATGAATGAAAAAGTACCGGAAATCAACGTAATCAACGTCGACCAATCAGGTCGATGTTTTAAGAAATGTGGAACAACTCGTCCCAGAGACAAGTCGGACCGAGTCCACTTAGACCGTCTAAGAAGACAACTCAGACCGCTTGTCAGATTTACTTCAGGTTTCATAAAATGTAAGACTAACATGTCTAGCGGAGCCATCAATCTTTCAATTGTGCATTGGGGACTATTTAGGGGTATTTTGTGGAGTCTAAAGAAGGGAGGGGTTTACTGTAGAGCCCTATGGGATTTTATTTTTATGCCCCCGCCGTAGCAGAGGGGCATTAAGTTTTACCCTTGTCCGTCTGTACGTCCGTCCGTATGTCCCAAAATTTGTTTCCGTTCTCTAACTTAAGTTTGCCTCAACCAAATGTTATGAAACTTATACACAATGCTTATTACCACAAAACACAGATCAAGTTTGAATTTTGGTGGCGTCACTTTAACTGTTCTAGAGTTATGCCTGTTTATAATTGGAAAAAATGCTAAATTTTTATTTTCTTCTAAATATCAAGTAA